GCCTTAATCAAAATTCCCACAAAATATTGATTAAAGAGAGAATCAGATATAGGCCTAGTGAGCAGGCTAAACAAAAAATTGTTTCAATTTTAGAATATTTTTTGCTCATGTCATTTCTTGTCATGTCTATTTTCTAAAAATCACAAATGTGCACACTTTATTCCAGGAAAACTAAAGATTTTTACAATAATGTATTATTTTTCTCTAAGAATGGTTATCATTCTTATTATTTGGGAGAATTTAAACATTTTTCACTCATTTTTGCACTTTGAATCATTAATGACTTAACCAATTTATAAAATATTGTGAATCTTTTGAGAAATATTATATTTGATATTGTAAGGAATAGATTGGTAGGTCAATTATACATGTTGCTTGTAATTTTGTCACCCCCTATAGATCAGATTCTGCCTTTAATGTAGCCACTTTATACGGTGGTTTATTATTATTTGTCCCGTAGTGATAAGGTGATATTCACCGCTCGATTACGCTTGTTACCCCCCCCCCCCCCTATCACACCAAAATAGTTCTTACCCGTTCTTGCCAGTCCTAGGAAAACGTCGTAAAACGGGCTCAATCTGGCTGTGGTCGGGAAATATGTCTAAAATAATTAGCTACTTCGTTCATAAACAGTCTTCAATACGTCCATCTCATTCGCAGTTCGTTCAGGTCGCACCAGGTCGGTGTGCAACGTCGTATAACGCGTCCCTTAGTCTAGAAGGTCATCATGACCTGAGTACAGAACGGTATGGTCGCCATCGAATTTTGAATCATTTCAAAATTCTAAAATCACCTTCCCGTCTGAGAACGTTCATGAAGTTCGTAAATAGTCCTTAGAAAGTAGCAGCTACGTTCATTCCGTTCGCACTCAGTTTAAAACCAGTTTTGAAGAACGCAGTGGCAACTTGTTTGGTGTGATAGCTATATTTTTGCTAACTCGTTCATAAGCAGTCTTTAATACGTTCTTAATCAGTTTAAACCCGTTTGCAATTAGTTCTACCTCGTTCTCAATACGGTATGGTCGCCATCGAATTTTGAATCATTTCAAAATTCTAAAATCACCTTCCCGTCTGAGAATGTTCATAAAGTTCGTAAATAGTCCTTAGAAAGTTGCAGCTACGTTCATTCCGTTCGCACTCAGTTTAAAACCAGTTTTGAAGAACGCAGTGGCAACTTGTTTGGTGTGATAGCTATATTTTTGCTAAAACGTTCATAAGCAGTCTTTAATACGTTCTTAATCAGTTTAAACCCGTTTGCAATTAGTTCTACCTCGTTCTCAATACGTCCTCAGACAGTTCAACTCGTTGTAAAAACGTCCCTAGAAGAATTGAAGTACGACGGTTCCGTTCGTAGTACGTCCAGCTCGTCGTTAGTACGTTGTTACTCGTTCTAATTGTAGAACGTGACGACCACGAGAGCATTTTGAGCAGGTTCTAAGTTCTAGAGGACCTACCCGTTCAAGTACGTTCGATGAAGTTTGTTAATAGACCCCAAACGGTTCTAAGTACGTCCAGTCAGTTCGTACACGTTGAAACCCGTTTTCGAGAACGTAGTGAGAACTAGTTTGGTGTGATAGTAGGTTTACCGAAATGGTTCGTTTTGGTAACAAAATGTCGGAACGTCGAAGGTACGATTTTTCTCTTTACTATGGTTGGCTTACCCGCCCAAAGAATACATGTGTAGTTAACGGGTGTGTAGGCGTTAATTACGCCCGTGTAGATGTAAAATTACGCCCGTGCAGACGAAAAATTACGCCCGTGAAGAAGTAAATTCTACGGGTGTTCAGATAACATTTACAGGCGTGAACTTACGGCGTTAAAATGATTAATTACGGGCGTTAAGACGGTTATTTTACACGCGCTGAGAAACATCTTCACGCCCGTCGAGTTTATTTCTAGCGCCGTAAATTATGAACCAATCAGAACCTTACTTACATAATGATTTAATGCATCCTTGCTAAAAGAGCAACTCCAAGATCCTTGCGCAAGTAAATAACAATCAGAAGCCTGCTTACATTTTTAGTGTGTTGCACTGAGGTCCTTACACGATGTCCGATTTGGTGCTCTGATCTGGCCACATGAAAAGGTTTTCATACTATTTGATAGATGTCGCTGTAACATATTTTCAAGTATTTAGCCCCCGTAGGAACGGTGATTACGCTGTCATAGAATGACTTCCGTTTGCAAGATTTCTGTACAGAATTCAACTTTTTTCAAGGTTTGTTGTGCTTTTTACCGTTTTTCCGGGCGTCATTTCGTTCTCAAGTTACATTCTGTGAAAGATAAGGTAGAATTACGCGGGTATTACGTCGCTTTTATGATGTTCTTTTGAGAAATTTATGGTTTTATTTAAAAAATTAAAATCACAGAAATTGTTTTTGATCTTTGATTCATCAAAAAATCAACTTTGTTAATTTATCTCACTTAACAATTTTATGGGAGATCAAGAGTCTAAATATCCCTATCACGCGAGGGCTAAAAAACAAGATGGCGTACTTATTATTTAATCCCGGGATTTTGTCCCGTATGGCCCAGTTTGATTTCCTCATCAGTACAAATTAATTAACACTTACAGTACTGCAGTATAGGCCTAGTTCATGCTCTAACAAACAGCTGGACTGGATTAAAATGTATTTTCGGCTGTGACAGTACAGATTTAAAGATTTGCATGTACATTTCGCCTACGTATTTGTGACGTAGTTTTCCTCGAATTGGTACAGTTTATTATCACGTGATTATCGATTTTATAAAAACAGCGCTATCTATCAATTACTCCGTGCGTCAAAAGCATAAATTGAAATGGCCAGCTGGGGCTGCGAAATCTGCCGTCGTGTTAAATACTCTTTTAAAGGGTGACGCATATCGTTTAGCAAATCGAACGCTCGTTTCTGGTGTTGCTCACCGTTTAGTATAAAAGGCCCGATCCCGGAATAATACTCAAGGGTTCACAGGTTCGAGGTCGTTGTGTCAACACCTCTAACTGTTATATAGCATAAGTATATTATAGATCGTCACACATTTATAAAAGGGTGATTTTTATTTTGACAAATCAATTCCACATTTATGGGTGAAGTTTCAGGATCTTCTATTTGTGTATAATAAGGAAAAATTGGCATCTAAATTTCCCCATAACGTAATAGCACACAGCTTGGCATATGAAATATCCTACAAATGAAACAAAGCAACACCAACCGGTTTCCAATACAAGAATTTATATTGGCTGTTGTACATGTATTCTTTGAACGCAATCACTCTTTGAATAACGTTTTCAAAATCATTATAAACGGATTACTTTATCTCAAAGACAATTTCAATAAACTTGATTTTACAGATCTCCCCTTATTTCTTCAAAATGGACTGATCCAGTTGATTCGCCTGGAGCCGCCATATTGTTTTTATACGGGATGCTAATCGTCACCCTTTAAGATTGTTAGATTTAACCAAAGAAGTATTCTTATTTTTAGTATTTTTAGAGCAAATTAAAAGGCAAATTGAAGAGACATGTACTGTGTTGGTAGGTATCAACACCCATTGTAGAAACGACAAAATTGCTGTATACTTTGAGAAGGTATACATGTTTGGTTTCTAAGTACGATGATTTTTTGGATAATTCTCCAAACTAGGCGTCGGCTTCAGAGGTAGGGACGTATTAAGCTCGCACGCATTGCAGCTTACAGTCTCACTATACAGTACTAGTCAGATCGCTAATGTATCCCTCTAAAGGATGTGTTCAGCTACTAGAATTATAGTGTCTAATCAACTGCAAATTGACTCTAGACTAAAGCTATATCCTGCAGATTTGGCATTTTTTTGAAAATGTACAGATGAGCCTATACCTACCTACATGTAATATACCTAGCCAACATATGTTCAAATTTGGTGTTAGGGAGATGTGTATTTTATTTCTAAGAATACGTAACTCATTTAATATATGATGTGCATCTTTCACATTTGCACAAATAGTGCACCAAGATACCCAGAAAAGAAATAATATTTAATATGCCTTCAATTGCAACAGTTGTTCCATGCACAATCATGAGTATGTTATTAACTTGCACAAGGATCTTGGAGTTGCACTTTTAGCTAGAATGAATTGTATCATCATGTAAGCAAGATGCTGATTGGTTCATAATTCACGGCGCTAAAATGAACTCGACGGGCGTAAAGATGTTTTTGAACGGGTGTTAGATAATGTCTTGACGCCCGCTATTGAACATTTTAACGCCGTTAGTTTACGCCTGTATTTGTTTTAACGCGTATAGAATTCACTTCTTAACGGGCGTAATTAACGCCTTGACGAGCGTAATTAACGCCTACACGGGCGTAAATTACGTCTGCATGGGCGTAATTTCACGTCTACACGGGCGTAATTAACGCCTACACACCCGTAAACAACACGTGAATAGGGTAGGTTGGCAAACCATACTTTTCCTTATTTCACGCGTTGTAGGCAGAATCCCAACGACGTTTTTTCTCACAAACGTGTATCAGCATCATATGTTTTAGAATGTACATGTTTGCGAAAAAATAGCTCAGAAGACAACAGAATCGTCGATTTAATTCCTCACTTAAGTTACATAAACGATTTGGGTTAAAAGTGCAGATCTTAACTGTTTTTCGAAAGACCGGTTATGTAACTTAAGTGAGGAATTAAATCGACGATTCTGTTGTCTTTTGAACTATTTGTTCGCAAATATGTACATTTTCTTAAACATATTATACTGATACACGTTTGTGTTAATAATGTCGTGGGAATTCTGCCTACAACGTGTGAAATAAGGAAAAAAGAAAAATCTATCGTACCTTCGATGTTCCGACATTTTGTTACCAAAACGAACCGTTTCGGTAACCAGCGTAATCGAATGGATCACCAGTGGATATTATTCTTATGATGTGCGGAATTATGATTTTCATGATCGATAAAAATTACACTGCAGCTGACAAAAAATTCCCTCGACTGTCTGCAGAGACTAAAACATTTATTGCCTATCGATTTTGTAGCATCAAGTTTGAATTATGAGTAAGAGCTGCAATTACAGTGTAAATGAATAGCGAAAGGAAGAACTGCACAATATATGAAGTGGATATCGACTCTTCCATGGCAATCTGAAGCATTCTCGATTATGTACAAATCTCATTGAACAGATGCGAAGAAGATGGAGGTCTGTACACTATCATCCGACTCATAGATCAACTGACTGGCTTCGAATTCCGGCAGATCATCGCCGGTTTATTTTGGTCGTATCAGTACGGATGCAACTGGTAGCAGAATGCCTAATTGAAGCTGCGCCAGAGCTTGTTTACTGTAATAGAACAGGTGTAATTAATTCGCATGACGGAATGAAAAAAGATGAACATTCACAAGGATTATTACTTCTTATTTCAGTTCATTACTGTGAATGTATGGCTTGGAATTACAAAAGGTAAGGCATATCGATTTAGTCAAGAATGACCATGTTTTAGCCTTGCCTTGTATCAAGCTTATTTCCTCACACTGGGATAGTGTGGGAGTACAGGGGCTTGTTACAAGACTATACTAAGGTGAACAGAACTTAGGGGGATCCAATAGATATATAAAAGCAATTCAGTATTCATGGGGGGGGGGGGGGGGGGGGTTGCTTCGACAAAACTCCACTCATCAGAGGTATGGGAAAATGACGATAATGATACTCAATGAGTGTGTATTTGACTGAGTGCGGAAACGAAAACATATTTTTACATAAAAACGTCCAGGTTTGGAATGAAATAATCCATTTGAAGATATGCGGTGAATATGAAAATGATAGAGTAGTATAATGATTATCCCGAATCTGATGCATCGTATGTACTCTTCGAAGTATTTTTACTTTTCCTAGATATACGCATATGTCACCGTGTTCTTCAATGATAGAAATTGCCTATTACAGTATCACTAGATTAATATATGCATTGAACCTTTTTCTGGGTATCAAGTGCTTTGGAACTATGCCATATTAAAAGTGAACCAGAAATGGAATACAACGTTTTAAAAAATTGTGCTTATTATCAGTACATTTTTGTCCTGACTTTTGGATGACATCATACTTTGTCAAATATCGTTTTCAAAAAATTCAAAAATTCATGGTACTGCGAACGTTTTTCCTCATAAATGAAACGGGATATCCACATTTATTATTTGACCTACTTGTTATCCGATGGTGAGCCATATTCTCATGATTCAGTAGCACTGAGAATACATTTCTGCTATTTATATCTCAATTATATAGTAGTCCTTCGTCAAGGTCTTTTGACCACCCTCCCTACACCTAGAGTATATAACAAGGGGCTGGTTCAAAAAACTTGATACTAGATAATCATAAAAAGGGTTACTGTTGTTGCAATTCGCCATCTTACTCAATCAAGGAATCATGGGAAATGTTACTTGCAATTTTGTCGAGCAAATATATCTGATTTGAGGCATAAGATTAAAAACCATCGAAGATTAGGATGTAAAATATATGGGAGTATTATCGTGCGTAGTAGATATGTTATGGCGACCCGATACCTCTCGTTGGATTGTAATCTCTATTCATTTTTCTAATCTTGGTTTCAGTGAGTGATCGCCTGTTTACGTTTTCAAATACGAATAGTTTCTTTGGTATGAATAATGGTACTTCCGTTAAATGTTTACGAACATTTTATAAAATTGTTTTGCAATGTTTTGTTATTCATTTTCAATATGCAACAACATAATTAGAATTCACTTGTCATCAGTGGGCGTACATTATTACCCTAATTATGTTGATTAAAAGCATTCTGCTGCAACACAAGTTATTTTCAACATACAGTGACAAAGATGCCGCTGTACAATTTAGATGTACGTTGTCAATATTATCTTATTTAAAGCAAAAATATGATGTAGGTTTTAAAAGATTATTAGCAATCTGAGGAATACTTAAACATAGGATTTCATCTTTAATTTCACTCCGTACATTCTCATGGGAAGAATTTTAACTTCCTAATCACACCCTATGCAGACAGAGCCTGTGGGAAATATTTGGTGCGGCGCAAATGAGCGGAGGGTGCGGAGCTAACGGTCATTTTTGAATTTAAAATTGGGATATTTCTGAAACTAAGCCGTTTTGGGACTTCAAATATACCAAGATATGTGTATTTGACACCAAATATCAATAAAATTGTGAAAATAGTAGTGCAATTCATTTTATAGCGACGCAGTATGCCTTAAACATTTCCCTTCTTGGAAGCCAGGCAGTATCTGTGTGATTTTATAAAAATTCGGAAATGTTCTTCAGATATGAGCCCCCTCTAAATATTGGGTGCGGAGGTACGTTTATGGAGCTCCTCCGCACCCAATATTTAGAGGGGGCTCATATCTGAAAAACATTTCCGAATTTTTATAAAATCACACAGATACTGCCTGGCTTCCAAGATGCAAAAATAATTTGCATGGGTAGTGTATCTTGAACACCATTTTTTATGAATGCTGGGGACTCAGTATTAAAAGGATAATTTCAAAATATATAGGTCTGGGAAAGGTTTAAGGCACACTGCGTCGCTATAGAATGAATTGCGCTACTATTTTCACAATTGTATTGATATTTGGTGTCAAATACACATATCTTGGTATATTTGAAGTCCCAAAACGGCTTAGTTTCAGAAATATCCCAAATTTAAATTCAAAAATGACCGTTAGCTCCGCACCCTCCGCTCATATGCTCCGCACCCAATATTTCCCACAGGCTCTGTCTGCATAGGGTGAATTACGTTCAGATTCCCGAGCAGTACTCGATATTTTCTGGGTAAATCTACCCGCATAAATGATCGGTTGGAAATTGTTGTTTTTTCGATCATTTTTTACGCCTTCTGAGGAGTGTCGATTTTTTTACACTCTTTGTATAGTCTGTCATGTGACGGCTTTATGGATGATGGGGTGGGCGAACGGTTCGCGAGTCTTTACACTTCAGGTTTATATTGATACTTTTAACATAGTTTTAGACTTTGGATCTTTGTGAAACGTGTCCCGTGCCATCAATGTCTAAAGACGATTTCATTCTCCAAATATCTCATTCATGCGATTACCGGTTAGAGAGAATTTTGCACTTTTGTGTCTCGGAAAATGATGTGTGGGCGCATGAATCGAATTTCACGAAGGATGTGTGGGCGATTTAAGGAATAAATAATGATAGGCCATTTAATATGGTGAAATTCAGAACGAGTTGAACAGAATGTCGCATAAAGCACGAACCGAAGGTGAGTGAATTTGAACTGAGATTCTGTTCAACTCTTTAAAGCAGAAATCTTAATATTTTATCCAATTTTTTCTTCATGGGCATTCGTGTCTATGTCCCAATATTTATTTATTGGTAAACTTCTCATAAAAATATTGAAATTTCCAAAATTCATCTAATAATTTTGTTCTGCCGTGCAAATTCTGTATGTAAAGTCCCAGCATATGCTACCGACGGACGATGTACTGATGTATAACAAAATGTGTTCAATAAGGAACTTGTTCATCTTACGAGTATTCATAATTTATCTTCATTTAGTTATTGAGTAGAGTTATTGACTAGCAATGTTAAAGGTCAAACTTACGACAACTCCTTTTCTAGATCTTATACATCACCCTATGCAGACAGAGCCTGTGGGAAATATTGGGTGCGGCGCAAATGAGCGGAGGGTGCGGAGCTAACGGTCATTTTTGAATTTAAAATTGTGATATTTCTGAAACTAAGCCGTTTTGGGACTTCAAATATACCAAGATATGTGTATTTGACACCAAATATCAATAAAATTGTGAAAATAGTAGTGCAATTCATTTAATCGCGACGCAGTATGCCTTAAACATTTCCCAGACCTATATATTTTGAGACTATCCTTTTAATACTGCGTCCCCAGCATTCATAAAAAATGGTGTTCAAGATACACTACCCATGCAAATTATTTTTGCATCTTCGAAGCCAGGCAGTATCTGTGTGATTTTATAAAAATTCGGAAATGTTCTTCAGATATGAGCCCCTTCTAAATATTAGGTGCGGAGGTACGTTTATGGAGCTCCTCCGCACCCAATATTTAGAGGGGGCTCATATCTGAAGAACATTTCCGAATTTTTATAAAATCACACAGATACTGCCTGGCTTCCAAGATGCAAAAATAATTTGTATAGATAGTGTACCTTGAACACCATTTTTTATGAATGCTGGGGACTCAGTATTAAAAGGATAATTTCAAAATATATAGGTCTGGGAAAGGTTTAAGGCACACTGCGTCGCTATAGAATGAATTGCGCAGCTATTTTCACAATTGTATTGATATTCGGTGTCAAATACACATATCTTGGTATATTTGAAGTCCCAAAACGGCTTAGTTTCAGAAATATCCCAAATTTAAATTCAAAAATGACTGTTAGCTCCGCACCCTCCGCTCATTTGCTCCGCACCCAATATTTCCCACAGGCTCTGTCTGCATAGGGTGTACATGTACATGGCGTTGTCCAATGAACGGTGTGTGTTCTGGGTGTTTTGACTGAGCGGTTCAAGACTCTATAAAAAGCTGTGGTGTGTAATTGCATCTCTGTGTACCGGTACAAAGTAATAAAGGGCTCTTCCAAGAGGAGTTTCTGCCTCTGTCTTCGAGTGTAAAATACGTAAAATACGGAATATACCAATGAGGTATTACTCGCCAAATATGGTGGTAACCAAGATACTAGAAGCTATTCAATGATTCGAGTGAAATACAGACAAAATTCTGCCCAAAAAGGTCTGTATTTCACGATACGCTAGCAGAGTGAAATACAGACACTGGACCGTATCCCAACGCTGGCGTCATTATCATTCTGTATCCTACGCTAATAAATACAAAATATATTCTAAGTCCCGTTGACCAATCAGATTGCAGGGAATTTCACGATCATGGAATGAAATACAATACAATACTTAGCTTGCAGAATTGTCTCAAAGTAAAAATATTGTAAGAATCGCCCACACATCCTTGGTGAAATTCGATTCATTCGCCCACACATCATTTTCCGAGACACACAAGTACGAATTTCTCTTTAACGGGAATCGCATGAATCAGATATTTGGAGAATTAAATCGTCTTTTGATATTGATGTTACGGAAAACGTTTCACAGAGATACAAAGTCTAAAACTATGTTAAAAGTATCATTATAAACCTGAAGTGGAAAGACTCGCGAACCGTTCGCCGACGCCCATCCATCATCCATAAAGTCACGTGACAGACTATACATAATATGTAGGTTGTTTTATGAAATATGTTTCTCTAAACTACATAATTCAGGACGGGTGGAAATTTAATAAATATTCATGTATTGGATATAATCTTAAAAGATCAGGAACTGTACGTTGTCAACGTCACTGTACGTTGTCAGTGTCATAGAAATTTTTGAGATGTAATATTAAAAATTCAATGATTTTATTCATGCTT